CCAATACAAAGCTGTCACAGCAAAGAGTTTTTATACAATACTCAGATATGTTACTTCCCAACAACAGGGGTTAATCACACAACAGTCAAGTTATTGGCAGGTTCCTTGAGTTTTCATTTCACCCATTTGTTGATTCTGAGGCACCATTTTTCTGGCTTTGTTTCATCTTCACTCTTCTCCCACCAACATGCAAACCTTTATCCTCTTGAGACAGCTTTAAGTCTGTCATCTGCACAATGCTGTGATGAGGGTGGTTTCAGCTTGTCCTCTCTCAAATTTCAGTCTGGGTAACATATTACAAGAGATGGCTTGACCTTGTCTTCTAACTACAAGTCATTCTTGCTAGGGATTACTCTCCCAAAGCTGTAATGCAACATGTGTGACCTTCAGCAAGATTATGTCTATTTGCCTAGTTTTCCCATCTTCTAGACATGGCTCCTACTTTACCTTTCTCAACCACCAATAACTATGGATTAAAATGCCAGGTATGTTATATGCTGGTTCCTTATTTGAATCTATGATTCTGAATGAGCAAGTGCTCAGGACAGACTGCAATATTCTGGCTTTGCTCAAAGAGAACACAAGGGACCTACTTACTTCTCCCAATTCAGAGAGCTATTTAGACTCAGAGGCCCAGAGTTCTACTCACATCTATTCAGGTGTGTGTCAGTTGTGCTCGTACCATATCAACTCAAGCCAACAACTCAGTCAGCTGTGCTGCCACATCATTCTGGAACGATCACTCCAGCTCTCTAACCCAGGGGTAGCAATACTTTAAGGGAGGGGGGCACTCCTGGATTTTGGCAAGTGGTCAAGGGCCGCATTTCTGCTGAGGGGGCGCAGGGTCTGGGATGGAGGTTGAGTGCAGAAGGGAGCTTGGGGAAGGAAACTTGAGTATAGGAGGGGGATGTGACATCTGAGAAGGAGTTTGGGTGAAGAAGGGGATTGTGATCAGGGGCAGAAGCTTTGGGTGTAGGGTCTGGACGGAGGTATGGGTGTAGGAGAGGATTCTGGCCTGGGGGAGAGGCTCTAGGAGGGGTGCAGGTTCTGGGAGTGAGTTGTGACCTGGGAGAAGGCGGTACAGAGGATTTGGGTGGTGGCCTTTGACAGGTAGTTGCAAAGGGGAAGTTGGGGTGAGGTGCCAGAGGCAGGCTCTGGCTGGGAGGCACTTACCTAGGCAGCTCTCAATCAGAAGTCCTGCAGGAACCTGAGCTGCAGTCACAAGCTGCTTCAAGTGACATTGCTCTCGGCAGGGTTGGGGAGCTGAAGGGGGGAGGCTTCACTGATGCCTCCAGCAAAATTTATCAGCTCCTATTGGCTGGAAACTGGCCAATGGGAGCTGAGAGATTTTGCTGGGAAGCAGGACAACACACAAAGCCTCCCTCCTTGCTCACCATCAGCCAGAGCATAGAGCAGCCACCGCGAAAGCAGTTGCAGCTGCACTGTGCCTAAAATCTATCCATTAAAAATATCAGGAAAATGTTTGTGTGAATGTAAACAGACTGTAAATTTAAGTACTGCATATGGAAAGTATGTGTAATAGAAAAATACACTTCAGTTTAAGTAGTTATATCAGGATCGGGATCTTGTATTGTTTTCTCCCCTATTTAATTTGTAAACAGTTGGAAATGCACATGTACATAGAAATGACTTAATTTGGTATACTACATTTTAGTACCTTGAAACAGTTCATTAACTTATATGTCAAAACTTGAAATGTCACAATCTGTCCTCATTTCTACTGTCTTGATTTTTTAAAAATGTATAGAAGAGGTTTTCTTGTACTATTTAATGTGGAAGCTCTAGTCTAGAACATATGCAAGTTATGTCCATTTAAATAAAATTACTGTGTCATCACAAGCTACAGTAAGGCAAATTGAAGTATGAATGCAGATGGTATACTGTACTCCGTACACTACTAGAGAATGCCTTGGAAAATAATTATGATTTCACAAAAGAGAATAAAGAACGGTATGTTCACAGCAGAGCAGCAGGAACACTGACTGACTTTTCACAAGGTCTGCTAAGGACTATGGAGAAGATGAACTGGACACCATGCATGTAAATAGTATATCTTTGCAACACATGGTTAGTTTCTCCGTCATTTTCAAATCAAAGTTATCTAATAAGTGAAATGTACATTTGTTATGAAGTGGGATGTTGGACATCAGAACAACTTTGCATACTCGTTCTGAGGAAGGGCATTTACGGTAATCATCTTCTGTGACAATGAACTCAAATCTGCTAGAACTGAGTGGGAATACAAGGTTTCTGCCCACCCCTTTCTGGCCTTTGCTGATCTTCCCCATAAAATTTTAAGAACAATTGAAGTACACACTAAAAATGCTGAATAGTCTGAAGCTTTGTAGAAACACTAAAGCAAACCTCTAGGGGGAGATCAAGAGCAATTTAGAATAGATCCTCCTTGCCTCTATGACAACGGGAAATATTCCCTGCCCTCCAGTGCTATTCCCTAAGGCTTAGCAGCAAATACCTAAACACACTTTCCCACAGTACACGCAGTCAGATCCATAGGGTTAGCTTTAATGCATTCTCTCAGCTATTTCACCGCACAGAGCAAGCATTTCAGATCCAAATTTAAATCTCTTAGAAGTTGCACTTAAGATGGCTTCCCTACCATTAGGCCACTACAGCAAAGGTCTATTTGCAATTTCCCTGTAGATCTTAACTACAATGTTCCCCCTCTTTACCTCTTAGTTTACTTTTGCTGTATCTACATTCAAACTAAATTACAGCTGGAAGAGATTTAGTACTCAAACTGGAAAGAGAGTTTGCCAAAAGAATAATCTGCATTTTTTTTATTTTCACTTATCTCATCTTGAGATTTGTAGAAGAATGATACAATTGTTGGGGTCCTGAAAAGAGGTTTCTACATACATTATGAACCACATTTCCTTTTAAAGCATTTGGCTTTTTTTCCTTGCTCGCATTTGCAATTAATAATGAAACAGTTTAATATATAAATAGAAAACTACCACTTTAAACTGTTTTGAATAGTCTCTAGAGCTACACAGATTTTAACATAATTTTTTATTAAATATGTAAAAAGATAAACGCAAGTCAAGTTATTCACATATTCAGAGACAAAAAAAAATCTACTCTATCATGCGACAATTTATGTAAAATGACCAATACATCTGAATAAGACTTTTTGCATCTAGTATGTCATGACTTATCTATTTATAATTAACAATACATATGTTTACATTCCTTTCCGTTTACATTTAATATATAACCAAAGCTTTATGGTGTGCTATTTAGTAAAAGTAATTACAAATGCATATTAAAACCATAACGGAATAATGGTGTTACTCACCTGGATGGGAGGACAACTTATCCCCTTCCAGAGTATCACTCCTCACCACAGTAGAGGCTCTCTGGCTTGAGAAGGGAACTACCATTCCTGTGCCCTACATCAATCACTTCCTGCCTTATACAAAGCAGTGAAAGATTATACTCCTCGGACCAATTACAAGACAGAATAGGAAGAAAGGTCAGGGTGGCTTTTTTAAACTTCTGTTTAAAAGGGAGTAGGGCAGAATGACCTTGTCTAGCATCACCTTGCACGCAGAACAATCTAATCATTTTGCAGCCTTGGAAAAGCATGTTTTAAGGAAGCAACTCTCCATTGTTTGCTTACCTATAACTGTAAGGATGACAACTGCATTAGTGATCACAATCTGGTGCTGATGCCTGTAACAGGGTAGGGTCTGATCATGAATTTCTTGCACTAGCAGAACTTCTACAGATGCTTATGAAAGTTTGGAAACAAAATTAAAAACTGGGCCATCCATGCTACCTTTTTAGACAGCAAATATCCTGGATTGTCTGTCTATGCTAGGTCATGGTAATATTTTTTTTATCCTTACAAAAAAACCTTCACTTTTACATTTTCTAAGTTTTAGGATTTTAATTTAAACCAAGCAAATTAATTAAGCTAAAAAAAAGTAAAGGAAGTGCTAGATTGCAGGGTACAGCACTTTCACTACCTATTATTGGGTAGGATGTGAGGGGGTTGGAGGTCAATGCTGGGATCAGGACCAGAAAGCTCTTTCAATCCACAGAGACTGGATACTATGCTGTTGAGCCGAGGGAGCAATTGAGGAAATGGAAACACCTGTTCTAATATTTAAAGTATTTTATATACTGGCTGTGGTATGAAACTCAGTGGGAGTGATCACTCACATTTAACTAAATTAGAGTCACTTTGCTACAAAAGATTTGAGAACTGAAGGTTTTTTAAATTAATAGCCTTCTGTTTCAGTATAAATTCAGTACCGGATCTTAATCAGTAAAGCAACTCTATAAAGATTTTAAAAGATACACCATTTAGGTGGTTTTATTGAGCTTTTCAGTGATGATGACCTCGGATGAAACTTTTCCTTGTGCTTGCCAAATCAAATAATTAAAGTAATAAATCTAGAATTAGGAAATCAAATGACAGAAGCCAGGAACACCAAGTGTAAAAGAAAGGCAATACAGATTCAGAAAGACAAAAATGTGCAATTTCAAGATTTAAAAATAAAGAATGCTATATATCTGCCTATAAAATACCATAATTTAGAACAATATAACAAGGACCCTAATTAAAAAGAAAGAAGCTTGGCACAGAAGTCTCTAAAGTCTGGTTCTGCACTGGGCCAACCTGGGAGTAGTAAGGTCAGTTGATGTTCTTGTTTCATGTGGGTGATCCCCTGCTAATGTGTTCTTTACCTCCAGCAGGACTTCTGGCTGGCTCACTAAACATGCAAACTGGCCGAAGAACCAACAGGGAAAATACACCTTCAATCAGTATTCAAATCATTTCATATTTAAAAAGAGAATTTCACAAGAGTTTCAGGACTGGTTCTACAGCTGGTTTGCTGCAAATCAACCTTGGTCATGCCTAGGCCCAGTAAGGAAATCTTCATCTTCCATACCTGTATGTCCGAGGGGAGTAGTAGAAGTCCACATCCAAGAATAAATAAGGGAAGTGGCGGGGGGGGGGGGGGGGGGGGGGGAGAAAAGAGAAGGAGGCAGAATACAAGGCATTCTGCAGATGCAATTGCAGGAGAGAGGGAATTGTTGTTTCCTGAATCAGGTCTGAGCTGCAGGCAGACAGAATTTCTAATATACAGGCCCTTCAAAAGAAAGAAGCTCGGAAAGCTTCTGTGGAAAAGTCAGGAAATTGAGAGGAGTTTCAAACAGTTAAGTATCTTCTAAAAGAAAACCTATTGTGCAGCTTTCTTACATGCTTTGGTGTAAAACACTTAGGGGGTTTTAAATCTTTATTAGAGAAACTTTTTCTTTGACCGTCTGTTTTGTGAAGATAAAGTAGGAAAGATGTGAGTCACATAAGCCTTTTTCCTCTACAAACACACACATCATTATAGCTTGAGTATCACTTCTGATTTATCTTTTTGTTCCAATTTTTTGACCAAATTTATGCCCCAAGGCAGATATATTTGAAAATACCAAAGCACCACCAAGTGACAAACACATCTCGTGGTACAGGACTTCTTGCCACAAGAGATGCCAATATAAACATTTTAGAACAAATTACAAATGCATCATACTTAAGACAAAAAGAAAAAATAAATATATATATTTTTTAAAAAGCAGAACAAATCTCAAGCAGCCAAGTGGTGAAGTTGCAGTGATGGAACCGTAGGTGAGGTAAGTCCTACCACCTCTCAGGTAGAAACACTGAAAGAAGACTTCTGCAAATGCATCTTGGCAAAATATAGGTACAGAATGCAGTGGCTTGCTGGCACTCACTATGATACATAAATGTTAATGGCAGACTGGGAGTGACTGATTTCGAGTTTGAGGCCACACACGTTCCTTTCTCCAGAAAAAAAGTCCCCACACAATGAAAATTGTCACAGATGTTGGACGGGTCAGTATTCTTCCTGCTGCTGGGGCTGTTCATGAACTGGCTCCTCGCTTTCATGCTCATCTGTGTGGCTCTCCTGCATGTTTAAGGGGGGGGAAAAACAGAGACTTTAACAGAACAAAACAATTTGATATATTACCATAGCACTTAGCGTAATCTATGGTTTGGCTCCTAATTTTTGTTCAAGAGTGAAGACAATTAGCCATAATTTCAAGCCTACCAACAAAATAAATCTGTGTTGAACAGTCCCAAATCTCCTTTATTCTCTATATCCAGATTATTTTGCAAGTACATTCCTTTGCAACTAAGGGGTTAAAATTTGAAGGTTTCCAGTGCAAAAGAGACACGTTCAGTGGAATAAATGTTGCATACTAGGCAACATGACTCATTACAGTTTTATGGAAAAATAAGTTTCAGAGCACTTTGGGATAGGATTTCTGTTTTACTTAAAGACTTTTTAAAACTGGGATAAGACCATATTTACTACAATCTGCTGTGGTGGCCGGTGGAACGTGACTGTGCTAAACAAGTTAAAACTACACAAACAGTCCTAGGGAATAATACAAACAAACCCAAATATATTTATGCAAGGTAGAAAACTGTTTTCCATTTCTCAAGTATCATTTGACCTGTAGCTACTAGGGAGCATAGGCTGCAGCTAATAGCTGGAAAAAAAACCCACCGATCCATCATGGAATTACATTATAAGTACGACTGTCAAACAATTTTTTTAAATTGTAATTCATCACAAGATTAAAAGTAATTATGATTAATTGCAGTTTTAATCACACTGTTAAAACAATAAAAGAATACCAATTTAAATTTACAGGCAGTCCCTGAGTTACGCGGATCCGACGTAAGTCGGATCCGCAGTTACAAACGGGGTTTGCTACCTGTCTCCCTGGTCTGCTGGAGACCAGCAGACCAGGGAGACTGGGAGTAAAGCCGCGGAGCATGCGGGCAGCAGGACAGCCCAGACACGCCACAGCTGTCCCGCTGCTGGCGTCCTCAGAGGCTTTGCTCCCCGTCTCCCTGGTTTCCTGGTCTCCAGCAGACCAGGGAGATGCGGAGCAAAGCCACAGAGGACCTGGGCGGCAGGACCGTGGTGCGTCTCGGTCCCCCGCCCGCGTCTCCCTGGTCTGCTGTGGGGGGGAAGGGGGGAGGGGGCAGGTAGGATTCCAGGCTTTTCTCCGGACGCCTGTGGTAGAGCAGCCCGG